CCAGCTCTGACTAGACTGTTGTGATTATGACGGGCTGGGTTCTTCTACATTCATACCAAAGAGAGAGAGAGAGAGGGAGGGAAGGAGAGACGGAGTGATGGGAGGGGGGGTTCCCGCAATGTTGGTCTCAGCAAGACCCGGGTAGCGTGCTTTCCCTCTATAATTTAATCACATTCAGCTGTCTCCCTGTCCTTGGCTCGCTCTGCAAAGCACGTCAGGCACCATGGTGGTACAAACACGCACACAGCCGCACATAAACTGGGTACACCAACACAAGTCCCCCCTAACAAGCGAGCCATTCATTCTATATCCTTTTTCCAGATAAATGTATAATCCAACCAGCATGGATTCACCTCATCACGCATTTCTCCTGCAAACATGGATTAAAAAACATCTTAAATAAGAGCTTTAATAAAATAAAACTACTGAACATGAAAGCTTGCAATCCAAGTATTTTAAATGTATGAAAAATCCTGGCATGATAGGGTGGCTGCGGTGATCTCAAGCTTCTTTCTCATCCTAGTTTTAAAGTAGATGACTCACACTGGACTGGAGCTCTGCTCTAAAACTTACAGAAACTCAAAGTGAATTTGGTTTAGAAAACTCTTTACAGCAGCATTCTGTAGGTTGATTTCTTGTCATAAAAATCTTCTTGGCACAGGGAAACGCGCCGTTACAATCCCTCCCAGTATCCCCAGATGTCCCAAACATTGTCTCCATCATTTGTTGACATGAGAAACATTCATTTTGACACTCTTTGGGCGAGGGAAGAGTCGACACAAGTAGCTCACTTTGTGTCAGAGCTTTGTTTGTCTTGACAGAATTAAACATGTTGAAGCGCATCTGCCTTCTGCTGTGTGTGTGTACAGTATATGCCACCCACGGGAGCACGGGCAGGCACAAACAACAACATCTGCATTGTCTTTTTTCTAACATGCAAAAAAAAAAAAAAAAGAAGATGAAATATAGACTGAAGGGAGTAGTATGTGTGTGATGTGTGAGTGTGCAACTCAACCAAAGAGTTTCTTGTGCCTGAAGTTGGGAACTCAGGCTGTCTTCCAACTTCAGATTTCCTCCTTTCCCTTCATCAGTTTCCGTTACTTTAATTGTTTTCTGGCACTCACTGCTCCTACATTCCCTGGATGCCAAACAGCTTCCTCTAAAATCTTCCAAATCTCAGAGTGACAGCAAAGAGAAGATGCTGCACATGTGAAAGACACATTCTCCAACAATTGTAACTGCACTGCACATTAAATTTTATTAAAAGTGATTTGACTAATTTATGACGATCACGGAAGACATGTAGACTGAACTTGTGTTTATTTATGAGGAGTTTGTCAAAGTTTTCTTGAAACTATCCCATTCTGCTACACAGCTGAAGTTTCCGCACAGCGTTATCCACAGCAGGAGCAAAACTTTCAAATGCATCTAACCGTGAGACCATGAGACCTCTCCTTAAAAAATAAAACTGCATTTTACAGAGCAAAGATTTTTCATTTTTAGTGACAGTTCAGGACAGTCAAAAGAAGGAGAAAATGAAATTATCCATGCCAGAACAATTATGACGACAACAATGGCTAAATAAGGGACATTATTTCAGCAAGCAGCTACTTTTCCTCACAGCACCAACACCTTTAGATTACTCAACTAAAGCTTTCTGAACAAGGAGGAACACTGAAGAACGAAGCATAGCAAGATGACCGAACTACACAGACAAAAGAGACAAACTCATCGTTGACCTGCCACTGATGAAAGCTAAACTACTTTCCATGCAGCTGTTATCTTTGCAACAGCGTAAATCTTGAATGATCGCAAAGCAAAGAGATAAGACGAACAAGTAACCTACCAACTGCAGTCTTCTCTGGAAACTTTTCCTCCTGCTCTCCAGAATGCGCTGTCTTTCCTTTCCTCTTTTACTTCTCTTCTTTTACTCTACCCCCAAAAATACACTCACTGTGCTCACTGCAAAGTTGTGCTCTCCTCCTGCATGCAAATCATTTTTACGACTTGAGAGATGACTGGGAACGAGGGAAGGAGGGAGAGCGAAGGGAGAAAGGATGACAGAGGGGTTGGTAGAGTAGAGATAATGGTTGGAAGGCGGGCGACCAATGGGCCTGGAGCCTAATGGAAAAAGGGAATCAGGACACACCAATGAGGCGCAGCCTGGAGAGAGAGAGCGAGGAGGAGAGCGAGCGAGAGAAAGAGAGCGGAGGAAACAGGCGAGGGAAGGAGGGATGGCGAGAGCACAGTCATAAGGAGACGGTGTAACGCAGACTGAGAGAGACATTGGGAAAGAGAGAGAGCACAGAGAGAGAGGGAGGGAGAGAAAGAGAGAGAGAGAGCTGTACGTAGTGGGTGTGCACGGTAGGAGGAGAGAAGCATCCCAGGCGAGATGAAGAGACCGCAGATCAGAGAGAGCGAAAAAGAAAGACAAGCACAAAGAAAAGAGAGAGAGAGACAGAGAAAGAGAGAGAAAGAGGAAGGAAGGAAGGAGCTGACTTACCCGGGTACTGCTAGTGGCATCCTTCACACGCCGTCTCGCAGACTCCACACACACATGCACATGCACCCACCCCAGCGATACAGGCGCACGCCGCGCTGCCGCTGAGACTAACCAAAAGCAAAAACAACAAAGGAGAGGACTGCCAAAGCCGACTGGTATACCCTAAAGCAATCGTGTGTGTGTGTGTGTGTGTGTCTGTAAGTGTGTGTGTGTGTGTGTGTCTGTACGTGTGTGTGTCTGTAAGTGTGTGTGTGTGTGTCAGGAAGAGAGGGTGGGAGTGTGTATGAGCATGTGTTTGTGTAGGGAGGAGAGGGAGAGATGTTTGAAGGAAGCTAAAATGCTCTCTCCTTCCTATAAGCTGTACCAGTTTCCTTCTCCCGCTCTCTCTCTTTTTCTATCTCTTTCTCCCTCTATCTATGTATCTCACGCTCTCTGTACACTGTGCATGTATGTCCTCCAACACTCAATATGTTCTCTCTCCCTCCCTTTGCTCTCTCTCTCTGCCTGCTAATGTGCCCTCCCTTCCCCTTTTCCCTCTTATACATTTATTCAGGGCTGCAGACTGTCTGCTCCCAGAGTCAGTTCTTCCCACGGGCCCCGGGTGGGGAAGGAGGGAAGGAGGGAGGGACGGGTGGGGGAGGAGAGAGGGATGGTGATGATAGTGAGCCATGTGGAACATGTGCAGTGCATGTATTTCAAATAGGAACGACACAAATTTGTGCCTTGAAAAAGAGGCAAAATGAGCTCCACTCGTGGCTCAGTGCACGTTATTTGGCCTGGGATCATTCAGAGAGCTGAGAGAGAAACAGGATGCAAACTTAAAGGAAGTCTCTCTCGCTGGCTGGCTTGCTGTTAATTAACACTTTTTCCCCCTCGTTCCTGGCTTCCAGGCTGGCTGAGCACCAGAATTAAGAGCGCAGAAGATGAATGGGTATTGAAACAGGGTAGTTGTAGCCATGTGTTCAGTGATGAGCACTGCTCACAAACAGGGGACAATATTTACAATATAATCAGAGCAGACCCATAAAGAGGGTGACATTGATGTGCACTCTTGTGTGAATGAAAATGGGGAAAACAAGGTGATGGTTTCCATATTTACCCAGATATGCAAACACAAAGAATGCTAATTTGCTCCCTGAGACATCATCATAATTAGATTATAAATTAGGTTCATTCCTTACCGGACAAGAGGTGCTAATTCATTCTCTTTCCACCAGTGGGGGAGACCCAGCTGAAACTGCAGCAGCAGCAGCAGCCATCCTATAGGCAGAGAAGCAGAATATCAGGGAGTTTCATATGCTCATCTGACAGCGACAAGCAATAACATATTCAAATAAATTCCTGTTTACACATAAATATTCAAAAGCACATTCACACGCTGTGGCCCATGTTGAGCTTCTCTCATTCAGCATACATGTATAGGAGGCACATTGTTTTGATCTGTCTCAACACAGTAAACAAATCTAATGCCATATAGCACTAGTTTACAGAACCAACAATCTCTCTGCTTTCCAACAATGCTGCCAGGCAGTGCAGGAATAAGGCATGATAAGTACTCTGGTGGGTTGGGACACAGATGCCCTCGAGGTGTTCAATATTAGCAATTTCTAATTCTTATTTGGCTATGTTAATGCCAATCAAGCACAATTAATTTAGCCCACATTCTTAAACAAATAAATAAAGGGGGAAGAGAAATGAGTCTGAATAAGGAGAGCACCAGTGATTTAAAGGATTCATGACATGTTTAGAAAAATAGAAAGAAAATCTTTTTTTAGTTTATGATGTTATGATACTGTCTCATGTATCAACTCACAACCAGGAGTCTCACAAGGACAGCTGTAGAGTACAGACTAGCAAATTTTGTGGATGCAGAGGCTACAGGCCTCCCAAAGTAATAAAGTGAATAAACCCTTTAACTGGTTAAATGCTGAAAAGAAAACTTTGTAGTTATCAATATCAAGGGACTTTCATGGGAACTAATGCATTTGATAGACACGCCTTTCTCATGATGAAAAGCATCACTTCATTACAGATATAAAGGCAATCACAACTGATTTAAATTCCTAAGATTTGAGTGCAGCAGATTTCTTTGCTTTGTTTTCCATTGTAATTGTGTGGAGTAGTACTTAACTGTCAGGTGACACAAGTTGTAGACCATAAGTCATGGGCCTCTGGTTAACATTTACTTTTTATGACTTGTGTGCAGTGTTGATTTTGATCATTCTCTCATTAGCCGCATACATAGAGCTGAGTATCCTTGTTAAATAAGGATTTTCAGTATTGCATTCGATACCCCTAAAATGCCCTCCTCCTCATCGATAAATACACTCTAAAAAAAAAACTATATATATATATATATATATATATATATATATATATATATATACATATATATATATATATATATAGTCACACTATTAAACAGGACCACATTATATATATATATATATTTGTTTAATACTGTAATTAAGGGTTAGAATACCAAAAGCTGGTAAATATTACATATAAGTGAACACAGCAAACAAAAACAAAGCCTCCACAATCCACATCAGATTCACCACCATTTAGAATAACACAAACTGTAATTTAACATAATACATATTGAAGAAAACACAACTTTTTAATCTAATAATTATCTCTTACTCTCTTCTTTTTTTATTTCATCAAAAAATATGACGTGACCTCGCCAGAACAGAAAATGCTACTACCTGGAGGGACGTTGGAAGCTAGCATTATACAGAAATTTAAACTTCTTTTAGTATGCTCACTGGATGAAGAATGAACTGCTTGTGCCAAGACAAAGCATCATCACTGTCACTTGGTCTAACACCTTTAAAACTTCGCATTTTTGCTGATTCACATGATACACGCATATTTTACATGGTTAAACCTACAGGTTAAGCTAGCATTAACTACAACTGTCAACAGCTGGCTACAGCAGTCTGACATGGACAAAAGAGGCAACGATTGAGTTGTAGGCTGCTGATGGACAGTTCCTGGTGCTGAAACGTCACAGAAACCAACGGTTAGACAGAGATTAAGCTGCATCTTTATAATGTGGTCCTGAGAGGGAAAACCTCATATATGGACCAGAAGGAGGAGAAATTGAAGGAAAAAATAAATATATAAACTCTAAGTCAAAACGGCAGATTATAGGGCATTTCTTCCTCTACATTTCAATCTTTTTTTTTTTTTTCTCAGAGATGTATTTTTCTTACAAAATTCAAAAGTCACTCTGAGTTATGGATGCTTTGAATTCTGTGCATAGTGGTTGTTGTAGACTTAAATAATTTGACCTAGATTGGCCTCAATTTTGTTTATTTTTTAGTTCCTCAGAAATTTTTGAGGTGAGAAAAAGTCTTTACTTATTGATCGGCACTTTGCAAACATTTTTTAAATGGGCAACAGCCACCATGTGCTGAATGGACCTTAATTTTTTTTTTTTTTTTTTTCCAGAAAAAGTTACAGTCACATTATTTAATATAAATTAACAATTATTCGTTATTCCAAAACACGACCAATCTCTGATTAAAACACTAGACCTTCTACAAGAAGTTTTAAAAGGCCTTATTTCATGACTGCAGTTTGTTCATTTCAAAAAGTTTTATATGGCTTTCTGTGCAAAACCAGGCTAATAAAACACACAGTCTTTATGACTATGAATATAATACGGATGTCTACTCATAAAAGGAAGAAGCAAAGATATACATACATTAATTGGATGGCCATATATGAAGGTAAAGTTTAGTTGTGCGGTAGAAGGATGAATCAGTGATTACATCTGAGTCCTGTTTGACAAAAAATTCAGCAAAAGCAGTTGATTATAACTCATACAGGGAGGTAGATTGAGTTATCTGTGCTGCTGGTGTCTGGGAAATCCATCAGCGAGATGTTAAACTGAAATGCTTTCCTGCTCACCCCTCCCATCTATGCAGCTACAGTGGCCTTTAAGGGACTGCAAACTCCTGTGACACATGAGTATTAACCTCCTTTAGTCTAAGTTTTACCACCAAAAACTTCATATACATTCTTTTGCACACAACAAAGGCCACTCACTTCATGCAAAAGCATTTTTATGACGAGTTTGTCCCTTCTGTGCTACTGTAAACAAGGCAGAGAAAGATGGCAGCCTCCTTGTAAGGGTCACACTGAAATGGAGATTATTCTAAGTTAAAAAGGGGTAGTTTTTAGAGTTAGGTAGTCATATACAAATTTAAACAAACATATAAATATTATTTTTCATTTCTTCCAAGTATGGAAAAAATGAGTATTTTAGAATTTACACATGTACTTCACCTGAAAAGCTTGAATTTATTATTAAATATCTTCAATATCTAAGCAATCATTTATTACTATGTCAAGCTTAAGTTTACTTTTAAATGAACCTTAAAAATCCTGTGTCTACCATGCAGGGAACCCAAAATATTTTATTTAAAGTGTCTAAACTGGGACAAATCTGGGGTGTCCCTGAAGACCAGTTTCCCAAAACAGTTAGGATTAATTTTACCACCAACAGTGTGCTATTCTGGGATTGATTAATAGCAAACATAATATGGTAAAGGGCTAGACAGGTAAATCATGATCTTGGAACGGAAATTTATTAAACAAGTCTAGGTCAACTTTTAACACTCCAGAAAACTTCTTCGAAGGACAAAAACTCAGAACTTAAAGTAAAATGCTTCAGTTTTAGGTCAATGTAAAAATTCCAGGACAAGTCTAAAGCCTGTAAGGTGTAACTATTCAACATACACCATAGATCAAACTTCACCTCAAGGAGATGATCATGTCATGCACTAAAGTCTCCAAACTGTCATATATTGGGCATTACTTATTTTCACGACGAAATCAAATATCTTTAAGTTTAGTCTATGCTCTTGGTATTAGGGAGGGCACAAGAGCAGTTATGGCCAAAATCTATTGCTATGATGTTAGTTTATCCTTCTCATAAGTCTCCACCAATTAGCAGCAATAGAGTTTTAGTTGTTTATTTTTAAAGAGAGTTAAAATGACAGCGCCCTCTTTTGGCTCATACGGCAAGCTCCTTCATGCCAACTGATGCACTGTATTATTATGAGATTGGACATCTCATTACAGTGCAAGTATAACCTTTCCCCTCAGAGTGTGAAAGAAAGGTTTGAATTTCAGATAAAAGTGACAGCCCTATTCAGCACTTGCCAAATGGCTCACAACTGATTGCAGACTTGTCCACATTGTGGAAAACCCATGATTGTTATATGCCTTACTGTATGAGAATTATAATTTCAAGCATGCAAGACCTGTATGAAACAGAGGACGCAACCAAACTGGAACTCCTGTAAAGTGCAAATACTGTTGCATTTACTTGGGATCACTGAACGACTGTAATCAAAATGATGCCATATTAGCGCTGACTGAACATATTGTACATGCACTCCTGCATATTTCGTTATTCGTAATATAGTTATCCTTTGAAATAATAAAAAGTAAACTCTATATTTCACGGAAAACAAGCTCTGAAGATGTCTCTTCCTCTGTTATGGTTTCAGACCACACTGGTGTTGCAGTGAAACACTTCTATCTATTATAAATCAAATAGTCAGGACAACAAACTGCATTTCATTGCATTAATTTAAATCCCAAATCAAGGCATTGATAAGAACAGTTTGCAAAAATAATGAAACTTCAAACATGTTATTGACTGAGGTTAATCAATGAAAGTCTACTATGTATTACTTGTTAGTAATTTTTCAGTTATTACTGCAAACATTCACAGAGAGTGACATGTTTGACCACTTACACATGTACAGACCAAGATCAACAAAGAGAGAAGTTGTGACTCTGTTCACAGAGGGCACCAGAATCAACCCAGACAGTTCCTCACAGGAGCTTTAAACAGAGATCCCCCATTTTGTCACTTCCCCCTCCCCACACAGTTTGACACGACTCAACTTTGAAAATGAAAGAATTTAACTACGGGCTGAAAATGAGTCATTACCTTTGACAAAGTGGTCACTGCACATACGGGCATTATCCGACGCAGCTCCTCCAAACCGTAGGCCAGTTGTTCTCAAGTGCAGTCCTCTAGCCCCCCCGTCCTGCATGTTTTGGATGTTTCCCTGCTCCAACACACCTGATTCAAATGATCAGCTCGTTATCAAGCTCTGAAATGGCTTAATAACGAGCTGATCATTTAAATCAGGTGTGTTGAAGCAGGGAAACATCCAAAACATGCAGGACAGGGGGCTAGAGGACCGGACTTGAGAACCACTGCCGTAGGCGGAGATTAAAAAGCCCATTTTTCAGTCACTATCTTACATCTTTCCCCTTTGTGTAACACTACTTTGGGCACACGATAAAAGCTCTTGTTTTTTTCCCTGTTCGATCGATTCGAGCAGCCGTAAACTGAGCAAAACATCGGCATGTATGTATGCTCTGTATAGCAGCAACTCACTTCCTGCCCTCCATCTGTGTTTTGCGTGTGCCGCGTTACACGGAAGTGACGTCAAGTGAAAACCTCCTATAGCAGGTCAAATGAAGGAACCCCTTATGGGTGAATTTGGGGTCAACATAACTACAAGGTCTGCTTGAGATTTAAATAAACTGAACTCTTTATGCTTATCTAAGGCACTTGAAGTTGTTTTAAATGACATATTTCTTGTGCATGTCTTGCATTATGTAGTCTGATGTGTGTAGGCCGAAGGTGTCGTACATAAAATAGACACAAATTTTAAAAAAGTTGAGTTACTCACTCCCAAATCTTTGAGACATACGCTCAATCACATAAGAGAAGTTTGCACACATTCTTACAACTTCTTTCCTGAGTTATAAGTAAGAGGGAAGGGAGTGACTGAATGTAGAGAGGGAGTGAAAAAGTAAAAGAAGAAGGGAAACCCAGAGCTGCAGGAGGGATGGAGGGAGCATTGGAGAGGGATGCTGTGGAGGTTACAGAGGCGTTGATGCTGCCGAGTGGAATCCAGCTTGAGCCAAAGGAGGAGGAGAAAGAGAAGCAGTGTGTTTGGGGACTGGAGATGATAGCGTGGGAGAAGGTGAAGGCTTGTTGTTCAGTGGGACCGAGGGAGAGGAGCGGGAAGGGTGAGGGGAGGGTGGAGAGGAAGTGGAAGAAGAAGAGAAGGAGTGATACCTTAAGGGACCGGAGAGAGATGTATGAAGCAGGAGAGGTTGCATTGCTGGCGTTTTGGGAGTAGGAGAGGGGAGGAATAACAAGCTGCAGCCTACTTATGTACAGTATGCTGCTGCTGTGTGTGTGTGTGTGTGTGTGTGTGTGTGTGTGTGTGTGTGTGTGTGTGTGTGTGTGTGTGTGTGTGTGTGTGTGTGTGTGTGTGTGTGTGTAAAAGAGAGAGAGAAAGAGAGAGTGATGTCTTTGGAATGGGATGACAAATGTGCTAGACATGAAAGACCAGCACACACACACCCCTTGGGGAGCTGCTTTACCTGCACACACACACGGACACACACATACACAGCACAGACTTCAGGGGATAAACACTCTAACACACACATGCATGAGTTGGTATTTCTATACTTGTGAGAACTACAGGCTGCATACTGTACAAGAAGCAGACTTTGCCGCACACTGCAGTGAGTGATTGCATGTTGTTTTAAACCTGTGTTTTCTCTTGCAACCAGCAGGGGGCAATTCAATCAGTGACAAAATCAATTAATTAATCAATCGGACTTGATGTTTATAGCACTTACAATCAAATGCAGTTTGTGGTTTAATTTATGCATGCTGCACAGTGCTGTAGCATGATTGGTCATTCAAAACCCCAAATATACAGAAACAATCAGTCATGATCTAAGGTTGAAAAATTAATTGTGCTTTGTGGACATTCAAAAGTTCACTCAGGTTCAGAAGTTCAAGTGCTGGTTATATGCAGCTTAGGGTACTCTTGGTTCTATTTATCCAGAAAAAAAAAACAGTGAATCACCAAATCACGCTTTTATCCCCATTTGGACTACTGCAACTCTTGGTACAAGTCTTAACCAGCAGAGTTTGCGAAGTTACAGCTCGCCTCATTACTAAAACCAAAAAGGGAGATCATACAACTCTTAATATAGCTTCACTTCATTGGCTGTCAGTAGGGTTTAGAACTGATTTTAGGTTTTATTGTTAACCTTAAAAGTATGCTCTGGTCTTACACTAAAGTTCATTTCTATTCCCCTCACTCCATATGTGTTGGGTTGTAACCTAAGTCCTCAGCCAAGGCTCTGCCCACAGTCCAGGCTAAGATCCAAATGTGGCCGGGCCTCTTCTGTCTGAGCCCCTGCTCTCTGGAACAACTTCCCTGATCAGAATAGAAGCCTGTTTATCATCTTTAAAGTCTCTTTTAAAAATACATTTTTACAGATGTGCTTTTACAGGAGGTGTCATCTCAGTATGTTTTAATCTTTCGTACGCTGCTTTTATTCCAACCCTAACTGGTATCACCTGCAACATCTTTAATCTTTTAATTATTTTAATTTTGTTTGTATACATTATGTGTGTGTAAACATGTATATAATAATAATATTTTGTGTGTTTGTATTTATATACACAACCCATCTTTTTAGGCTGCTTTATGCTGGTCCATGGTTTTTGTTGCCTTTTTGTTTCAAATTGTTTCCCTTTCTTTTCTGCCATTATTTTTTCTCTTACTTTATTATTTATTTATCATTATCTCTGTATCTGTTTTCATATCTCTGATGTTGTAGAATCACCACCTGTTTAAACTTCCAAATATTAAGTAATTGTATTCCACCTCTTTTATGTGAGTCTTAATTATTATTTTATTATTATTATTATTATAATTATTATTCACCTCAACTTCATTGTTATGAATGCTATCACTGCTATGCTATTACTATAGACCAGCCGACTTGAATTTATCATAGATCAAACTAAGATCTGTCTGTTATCATTATCATGCTGTTCCTGTTAATAGTAGACATACTTGTTCCATCATCTCTGGCACTGTGAGCATACAGCTGAATGTACTATTGTTGCTGTTGTTGTTTGTTTCCATCCATCTCTCTCTTTCTCCTTCTTGATCCGATCTTAAAAGATGGGGCCCCTATCTTGATGTTGGGTCTTTGTAAATGTCATGAACAGTATGCTGGACCAGCTGTTTTGTTTAGTATCTTGAGATTACGTTTTCTAAGAACTCAGCATGTTAAAAAAAACATACTTCACCTTTTCTTTAAATGTATTTGAATTGAAAAACTGTGAAGTTAAAGGGATATTCCAGCATTTAATTAAGTTAGGGTCAAACACACCATTACACCGAGTTAGACACCCCCTCGAGAGATGAATGTTGCTGACTGCTTGCTTCTCTAGTTATACCAACTTTAGTAACGACCGCACGATAGCAATACACAGCGGTCTACGTCTCCACATGCAAACCTCAACCAAAAAGCCACTCTATGTCATGTCTATGGTTTAATTAAGTCAATTTATTTAACCTTTCTCAAGTTTCTTGTTATGTCCTTTCTGTTTTATTTTGAAACTTACCTGTCTCTTGTTTCAGGTCTCTTGACGTCCTGCCCTTGTCTGTTCCCTGATTGCCCTAATCTGGTCCACCTGTGTCTCGTTATCTCCACTCCCTGTGTGAACTTAAGCTCAGCCTTCTCTCCCTTCTGTGCCAGTTTGTCTTGTTCCCTTGTGTCAAACATTCCAGCATTTTCCGAGTGTATGCCTACCTGTTTTTGACAGTGTTTTTTTGGTCTGATTTTTGTCTGTAGATTTGGATACATCTACCTGTGTGACTGCCCTCCTTTGTACCAAACCCTTGCCTGATTAAAACCTACTCTGAACTTTTATCTGGCTCCTGAGTCCTGCTTTTGGGTCCATATCCTGGTTCGTTGTTACACTCTATAGCCACTAATAATGCTCAGAACAGCACCTAACTCAACCAACAGTACATAAAGGGTCCCAGCCATAGTACTTGCCACCAAACATCTTTTTAGCTTTGCCTAATTTCTTTAGCAAAGAGACAAAGGAAGAACTTTTATGATCATTTCTTCATGGAAATGCAATTAGACCGAGACACTAAGGCAGAAGAACTACCGCGTCTGCAGTGCAAAATTATTAATATGATGATTATTACTTCAAGGAAATGATAAAGTAATGATCATATATGTTCTTCCTTAAGCTGCGTAACCCAGCTGCAGTCGTTGATGGACTCGTCCGAGCTCTGCTTACAAACACGCGGCTGCTGGAGGAGAGTGGGTGAGTTGTGTTCGGTCTCTTTGCTGAAAATACCAGGCAAAGCTAAAAAGATGTTTGATGGCTAGTACTATGACTGAGACCCTATATGTACTGTTGATGAAGTTAGGTGCTGATCTGAGCATTATTTGTGGCTATAGAGTGGCTTTTTGATTGAGGTTTGCACGTAGAGCCATAGACCACTGTGTTAGTTAGTTAAACTAGAGAAGCAAGACGTCTGCAACATTCATCTCTCTGTGTATTTGACCCTAACTTAATTTTATGCAAGTAATGCAATGTACAACATGTATAAATGTGAATAAAGGTAATTTATGCTGAGAATTTAGAGACAAGCTGTTATACACATGCAAAAGAAGAGATAATCACTACTTTGACTCAACATTATCCTCGTCTGAGTATCAACTCAGCAGCCCGTAAAGAAGACATCACTTTTTCAAACTGCATCAACTCTGATGTCTAAAACTAAAAACTCCGCTCTCAGAGTTACACCTGCATGCTCCACATAGACACTCAAACATAGCTACATCACACATACTCATGCACATTTACACACAAACACACACACAAGCACACACACAGGCATGCACTTATGTAAATTTAAAAGCAGCACAAGAACAAAGCCATGGCATGGGTATAAACAAGGGGGCATACATAAACATTACATGTACATGCATTATGCAGACACGTGCACACACCCCGCTCTGATAGACACTTAAACACACACACACATACACACCATTTACCTCATTCATAGAGGTAAGAGCACGCATCATTTCCCCCCTCACTCTCTTTCTCCCTCTCTTTAGTCCCCAAATCCATGGCATATGACCTTCTGTGGGACAGATAAAGAATGTGCTTATCAGTCATGCAAATGAGGCTGAATTCATTTTCCACAACAGATGGCCCCATAGATAATGATGATGGAGGAGAGAAAATTAAATGTCTCTTGCTCGGTGACCATGGCAACCGTGCCTCTGCGGCGTAATATCAATAATAAGTGCACCGCATAATAAGGTTGTCAGTCCTGTGAATCAAAACCTTCCCTGATGGGATAGGGCAAGGGGGGTGAAGTCCTCCGAAAGTTTGGTTGAGTCTGTAGGGCAAAGTGGACCGTCCAATCAGGGTTTGCAGTTTGATGTCAAAGAAGCTTGGTCATTTAACAGACTGACTTTAATGAACACTTGGTTAAGTAACACCTAAGGGTGTATGTATCAGCTCTTACATGAGGTTTATGAAGCTATATGTCATTGCATGACAGTGTTAACCTCTGGATTTTAACTGGTCAGTACTCCATAGCAACAGTCTGTTAGGTCTTGATAGTGCCCTTTTGCAGACTTTTTGATCCAAAACGTCAAATCAACTCAAACTGCAAAAAAAGGTCCAGCATGTTTCACCTTGCCTGTTGACCCTGTGGCAAAATTTTCTTTTAACATTCAACATTGGACAAAAAAAGCATGAATTCCTTAGGGCAGGTTTGAGAGTGCCTCAAAGTCAGGTTTCCTTATTCTTGGGGTTAGGTGTATGAGGAAAAGAGCAGACATGTTCACTGTATAAATATTTACATTTTTTTTTTCCTTTTATTTAACCAGGTCAGTCTTATTGAGATTAAAAATCTCTTGTCAATCTCTTTTTTGACAGGGCCAAAAAATAGCAAAACACAAAGAGACACACAGGGAACCTGAGTGTGTTTCACAAACCATAAAATTTACAACAAAAAGAAAAACTTTTCAATCCAGTTGTGCTATCAGGTAAGCTAAACACAATGTATGAAAACAACCCTGCTTCAAAGTCTTTCATTTTAGATTTAAAGTTTTTCGAAGGAGTTTGAAATGTATGTTTTATTAATGAATTGTGTGTTCTATTTTGCATATTGTATATTAAACCCCTTCAATTTGTTAATTGATGTTCCCAGGGGAGGGCCTAAGGGGTATTTAAAGAGTGCTTTGCTCACTCTGAGGGGAGCTCTTGGCCTAGACGCATCGTGGGTTATAAGTGAAAAAGCTTAAGTCCTTCTGAAAGCCTGCTGTAAATACGTCATTTATTTGCCCAGTTTTTGTTTGTTTTTTGCCACTTGCTGTTTTTGGGGAGTTGGTTTGAATAAAAACCACACTTGAGTTCAACTGTGCCATAATTTTTTGTCCCGAACTAACGTGTGACATTTGATGTCAGAAGTGGGATGGCCAGTTGACTAGGGCACACCCATTTCTTAAGAGGGCGTAAAGGCCTGCGCTCACAAAGGAAGGAAGCAGCTCAGGATAAAGGGGGTGCTGTTGCTCCAGCCCTGCAGGCAGCCCCTGGAGCTCCAAGTGCAGGAGAGGAGCTGATGATGTTTATGAGGACCTTCCTGAAGGGACAGCAGAGGAGAGAGGAGGGGTTTCTGTGTGGCCAAGCTCAGAGGACTCTGGGCTTTGTTGACAGCTCCACAACTGGGTCAGCAGATGGTTGAGCGGAGGCCCAGCCCAGCCCCAGCGAGAGCCGCATTACCATCTGAGGGGTCGATGATGATCCCTAGGCTGGAGTTGCCCCCACCAGCTCCTTGACAGTGTTGCAGTTCACTGTTGGAGGCACCAAGGGACAGTGTGAGCAGCAGAGCAGAACCTCTAGGCCGGAGGGCAGACCCTATGGCGACCCCAAGATTCCTCAGTTTCTGGCCAAAGAGGACAATGAAATCACCTCCTCCACTTTGAGCGGATTGCCAGAGTATGGGGTTGGCCAGATGGGGAGTGGGCATGTCGCCTGGTACTTCCTCTCACTGGGAAGGCACTAGAGGCCTAGATGGCTATGGATGAGGAGAGGGCTCACCCATACCCAGACCTGGAGGTGGCGCTCCTGACGAAGTTTGATGTCTCTCCAAAGACGTATAGTCAGAGGAGGTTCATTCCCCAATTCACCACCATTGCCGCTCCTCTGACTGCCTTGACAGAGGAGAACCACTGAAACTCTGTTGCAAGGAATGAGGACTGCGAGACCGCCTTCCAGACCCCAAGACCTGCCTGTGCTCCTCGCCAGGGCTGAGGTGTCCCAACTTGAGCTAGCGGTTCCCAGTCCAGACAGGTGCCTCTGTAGTAGGGCTGGGGGCAGTCCTGGCTCAAGGGGATCCTGGTCAAGAATGACCTGTGCTTTACCTGAGCCTTAAGTTGCTGCTATGGAAGACCAGGTAATCCACTGTGGAGAAGGAGGGCTTAGCCAACAAATGGGCCATGGAAAGCTTGAGGTACTACCTGCTGGGGAAGGGAGTTAGGGTTAGAGTTTGACTTAGAGACCGACCATCGCGCTCTGACCTGGATGAACTCCATCAAACACCACAACAGCCATCTTACCCACTGGTTCCTCTCCCTCCAGTCATTCCAGTTCCAGATCCGACATCAGGCAGGCAAAACCAATATTGTAGCAGATTGTCTTTACCGCACAAGGGCAACCACAGGGAGGAGGGGGATAATGTGACAGAGTGCCGTTAAATGCCCCTTCTTTTCTGTATTGCCTTAAAAAAGTCTTAGGTGTGTGATGAATGCCATCCAGTATTGCAAACGTCAACAGCCTTCAATAGAAAACGACAGTGTCATTAGCGTAATAATGGACATTGTACTTAATATATTGTATTATATATTATTAATATTGACAGTAAACAAAAGGACACCTATTACAGAGCCCTGTGGCACACCTTTGTGGAAATGATATTAAAGCACTGTTCACAGTAAAGATGGTTTCAAGAGGCAGTAAAGGTATATTTCTTTCTTTTCTTTCTTTTCTCTTTCTTTAAATTTATGGTATGGTTAAAAGCTGAATTCATATCCCATCTAAATACCTGTAAAATTAGCTAACCTGTAAAATTTATCCAATTTCAGGCAAGCCTAGAATGGGACTTTGTTGCAGAGACACTCGAGCTTCCTTTGTTTGGTACCACCGTTTTTGTGATTACAGAGCTGATTTATTTGCTCCATTATTTGATTTGGAGCCACAGCCACACTGGTCTTGATAAAAACCCTGATTATTGCCCGACTATGGGCCTGGGCTGGGGAATTGAACTCTCATTGCTCAGAATTAAGAGAGTAAAAATGAAGTGTTCAGAAGATGCAGAAAGATTGAGAGATGTGCAGAAGCAGGATGATTTTTTTCCCTCCGTAAACTGACCTTGGGGAGTGTTTTCAACATCATCTTTCCCTGTATTGACTGTCATCTCAATCACACATGGCCGAGTACTCGTGCCTTCCTGTGCTTCAGTAACAACCTGTTCAAAGTAAAAACTCCTCACAGTTGTTCTATTTCATGGACTACACCAAGTGCATCTTTTTTCCTTCTATTTGAACACACACTCACAAACTTACACTCCATCAATGACCCGCTCAGCTGCCTGTCACTGCAGGATGACTGTAACTTCATCTCCTAAACCTGATTAAGTATGCTAATAAAAGCTTCAGCACCTTGATATATAATTTATCAATAAAATGCCTCCCTTTAGAGATTTGGCACTGCTGACTCTCTGCTGCCTGACCTGAAATTTGTGCTCACTGAATAGGACTTCACAGTAGTTTCACCACAATTTATTATAAGTCTTTCGACCTAAAGAAAACAGACACAAGTGAGAGTACTCGTTTACTTGATTTGGTTAAGACTGGCACCCTATCCTTGCCATTGGATTTGGCCAACCTTTCCCCACTGTACTTATTATCACTATTATTGTTTACAAATCCCAATTTGAAGTTGGGTCATTGTGTAAAATATATATAAAAACAGTATATAATGATTTGCACATTCGTTTCCTTCTATATTCAATTGAATGCACTACAAAGACAAGATATTTAATGTTGGGACAGGCCGTAAACATAAATAATCCTGCTGTCAAAATGAGCATTTGAACATGGCCTCTAATGGGATTTCCTTATCTTTTGGGCCAGCCTCTAGTGCACACTCCTGGAACTGCTTCTTAATACTTGTTAATGTCTCTGATCTTGGACCCTTTTTATACTCACTTCTCTTTAGGAAACCTTTTGGAGAAGTCATCAGTGATAAACACACCACAAGAGGATCCGATCTGCACCAAAGGACACAGCAGGTTTCTTAATAAAGCCTCCAGTCATGGCATTTTGAGGAAGTGTGGCTCTGATTATCATGCACAACAAACTTCTGAGCTAATGAGTCACTATATCTGCCATTACACACCCACCTCAAACTTTAATAGATCCTCAAGGCTGGAGGCTTTTGTCTTCTTCCAAACTTAAATCAGGATGACTCATGCTATGGTTTTCATTCCTCAGGGCTTTATGTCTCATGCTCCTTCAATCAGTTTTATAACCCTGCACAGTGGTGTCATGAACAAAGGTTTTTTTGTGTGGAACAAATAAAAATCTGCTCCAAAATGGAAACAAATGGATCCTGAACAAGGATCATTTGTTTTTCCGGAGATTTTATTCCTCTGTCTGCAAAGATTTTAATTCTCAGGAGCAAGATGTGCCTTTCCAAACTGGGATCCTAAATATTTAAGAGATTTAAAATTCTAATCCCACATCAGACAGTGTTCATTTGAATACCTTTGATAACTAGTATGAGGGGTAGACTAGTTAGCACTGATTGTGTCTGCCATCAGCTGGAGTCCAGTTAGGAGCCAAAGAAGCCTGACCCGTCCCAACTGGTCCATGCCAAAGACATAAGATCATATCCAATATGAATTTATCATCCATAATTTGACATGCATCACTGCAATTCCATTTACAACATACGAGAGAAGACACATGACAAACACATGACAAAACAACATTTCAAACAGCATATTCTGAGGCCTCAAGTGTACTTTTAATTGAGGATTCAGCTCCATATTTAACTTCATAATTGACTGGAGTACAAACAAGTGCTTTAGCCTGACTTTGTAAAAATGAGGCACCTGAATCTCAGATTTGATGGTAACAATTCATACTCACAGAGTATGATCACAGAAGTAAAATACTAAACAAGACTTTGGGCTCTATTTTCGTGTCCACCGGTGAGGGTGGCGGACCCCGCGCAGTGGTATTTTCATCTGGCGGAGCCCGGCATACAGCCAGCATCCTCTCTCTTTCCTCCCTACGACTTATGCCGCTGGGAGGAGCTGAGTTAGGGAGGGGGAATACTTATGCTGGGCTGCGTCACTCATCAAAATACCAAATTGTGCTTGGGAACGCCTTGTTGGCTTGGCGGACCTGACTTACGCCGCGCATGCGGCGCGTCGCCAGCAAGGCAGGAAAATACAGCCCTTTGTCTACTTGCAGGAGTAGCACTTTATATTTGATGCAGGCTGCTACTGGAAATTAGTGGAGGGAGGTGGACTGCAGTGACATGTGTTGCTTTGGGCGGGCGGCTGTATTTCGGATCATCTGCAGAGGTTTGATGCAGGGAGTCCTGCCAGTAAGGAGTTGCAGTAGTCAATGGGTAATATTACAAGAGCCTGTACCAGGAGCTGTGTTGTGTGCTCTGTCAGGTAGGGTCTGATCCTCCTGGTGTTGTAAAGGGTGAAACAGCAGGACCAAGCATCCGAGGCAACAAGAACCTTAAAGGTTTGCTGGTCATCAATCATGAGACTTAGATTCTGAGTAGACTTAATGAGCACAAGTTTATTTAATCCAAGCTGGATCTTGATCTGTGGGTGTAGAGAGGGACTGGCTGGAATGTGAAGAAGCTCAGTTTTGGACAGGTTGAGCCTCAGGTGATTCCTTCATTCCTTTAGAAATATCACTGAGGCATGATGAGATTTAGACAGAGACTGTTGGAATGACAGGAAGAAACATCATGAGAAATACACTACAGGCCAAAACTTTGGAAGCAAGGCCATTACAGGCCAAACAATTGGGAGTAACTTCAAGTTTTTGTTCATATTGCTTTTTTTTTTTAATCCAGCATGAGTTTTATGTATTTTGGGATGTATTTACTCCATGATCAGATGTTGCTTTCATGGAAATGCACCATTTTACTCCATCTACCTTTAGATATACATTGATGTTAGCAGACCATTGCTAAATTTATGTCAGCAAAAGATAATAAGGGCTTAGTTTTAGGGTTGAAAACATTTGCAAGAGTCACAACTTCAGTGCAAAAGCAAAAAAACAAATCACTGTTGGATTATTCACTTCAACTTTTTGGCTTTTGAGAGTCTGCATACAAATCCTAATAAATCTCAACTGCGTTCAAACTACCGCAAAAATGGCTAGAAAGAAGCAACCGAGTAAAGAAACAAAAGTACAGATTTGTACATTGAGGAAAGAAGGATATACAGAAAGAGAAATTGCAAAATGCCTAAAGGAGTCCACTACACTCTGAAGAGACTAGAGGAACCTGGAAGTTATGATGATAGAAAAAGACCTGGATGAAAGAGAGTTACTACAAAAGCAGAGGATAAACATAGCATTGTCACCAGTAAGAGAGATCGGCGAAAGACAGCACCAAAAATAAGGGAGGAACTCAACATGACAAGGTCGAAACCGATATCTCTGACAACTGATAAAGATAAGAAAAAGAGATATGAGTGGGCAAAAGCTCACAAAAACTGGACTTGTGATGACTAGTAACAAGTTTGCACTGTTTGGTTCAAAACACAGAGTCTATGTCCACAGACAAACTGGTGAACATCTGAAAACAACATGTGTTACACCCACAATTCAGCATGGAGGTAGTAGTTCCATGGTATGGGGATGTTTTGCAGGTGATGGAGCAGGCGATTTGTTTGAAGTAAAGGGTATCATGAAGAAGGAACAGTACCACTCCATCCTCCACCATGCTGTATATTTGTTTGTTTTATAGCTCATAAAGAAGCATTAACAGAAATATAAGGATGCTTATAAACTGATTTACCTTGTTTTATTCAGTGTGTCTCTTTCAGTCAGGATCACTTTGTCAAAATTCAGCTTTATTGTGCAAAGTTAAATTTGGCGGCATAGTTCTGTTCCGGGTCCCTGCCCTTCCATGCGCTTGTATGAAAGCCAGAGGCAGTGAAGGGACCCTTCCTGCCCTTCACTAACCATCATGAAAAGGCGATAGCAGGGAGCGTAAGCAAGGTTCTGTTCAGGACTCCCCGCTTTCCACACAAGCATGCGTGAAAGGCCAGTGGCAGGAAGAGCATATTCCCTCCCTTCATGAGGCAGCATGAAGGCAGAAACATCAAGGGGTAGAGTAGCGATGAACAGGACCCCCCCAGAACAAGAGCGCTTCAAGAGTAGTGGAGCGGTTTAGCTGGCACAAGGGTGGAGCTGGGGTGGAGGTGGGTCGCTGGTTGCCTGTCAAAGCAGAGATAGAGGCTTGATTAGGGCAGTTTTAAATAGGGTACTCTGAAGGCATAGGACCAATAGAAGCTTAGAGGAAATCAGCTTGGCCATCAGCTGATTGAGGTGGCTACCTTTAATTGGCTGCGGATAAGTGCTTGATGTCTGTGAGATTTTGAGTTTATGCAGCAGTTGGGTTTCCTGTGTTCCTCTCCTCTGTGTGTTCTCCCTCTCTCTCTCTCTCTCTCTCTCTCTGCAGCGCTGATGGCACGGCAGGAGGTGGGGCTGGCCCGGACTGATTCCACGCACCTGATTCTCGTTGTTGTCAATTACCTGGCTTTATATGCCGGCTCCTCTGTTGACTCAGTGCCAGATGATTTCTCAGTCATGCAACACGTGTCTTGCCACCCGGAGCTCCCTGATCTCCCACCCGTGTAGCCAGCCTGCCACTCAGTATTTGTTGATGAGTTCTTTTGTTACTCCCAGGGAATTTTTTCCCTTGAGCAAAGGTGATTTTGTGTTCATGTTTTTTACTCTAGTTGAAAAGATTTTTTGGTTTACTATTTCTGTTGTACTTTGTCTTTTACCTCCTTGGTTGTTACTTGCCCCACGTGGCACTATCATTTGAACTTTGTTTTTTTCTCCAGCTATTTGCCTTGCTGCAATGAATCCTGTCTAACTCTGGTTTTGTGTTTTTTTTAGTGGCAGTCCAAGCTGCCTTTTCCCAGAAACTGCGATTTTCTCTTGTTCACTTTGTTCTATTGTTTGTTGTTAATAAATTTGGGCATTTGCCTCTGCATTTTTGGATCCTGGCCTTTGTTTGAATCCTAACAGAATCATCTGGCCAGAAGAGTATGGATCCAGCAGAGGCTGAACATTTAAGACACGCTGTATTCACTCAAGGCGTCTTAGTGGGCAAACACGAGTCCACCCTCATGCAAATCATGGAACATTTGCAACAGCTCACGGCCAGTGTCTCCTAGTTAAGAAGCGAGCTGGGGACCATGCGGGTTCAACCTCCTCACTCTGCTTCTGCACAGCCTCCTCCAGTGCCTCCACCCACCGAGCCATCTGCTACCTCTCCCCCGTCAGCTAGGAAACCTTTTATTCCCATCCCTCCCAGATACTCCGGGGATCTAGGTACATGCTCAGAGTTCTTGTTACAGTGCTTCTTGGAACGCTACCACACAATCAAAGATAGCATTTATCATGAGTCTGTTGTCGGGTCAGGCTGCTTCCTGGGCCCTAGCTGTAACTACCGGGGGTTTGGAAATGTTGACTGACTACATTCAATTCACAGGGGAAATGAAACGAGTCTTTGATCACCCAGTACAGGGTAAAGAAGCTACGGGTCAACTATTAGACCTACGGCAGGGCAGTTTAGTGGTCTCCCAGTACGCCATAAACTTCCGCATTCTGGCTGCCAGCAGTGGGTTTGGGGACACTGCTCTCCGAGACATTTTTCGTAAAGGGTTAACAGGAGAATTAAAAGACAAGATGGCAGTGCGGGAGGAGAGCTCCTCCCTAAACGAGCTAATAGAGCTGAGCATACACATAGACAAAAGACTCAGAGAGAGATGGAGGTAGAGGAGAGTGAATCAGACTCGTCGTACACCAGCTTCCAGTGTCTGCAGCCCTGCAAGAAAAGCTCTGCCTCGACTGCGGCTGCAGAGGTCACTACCTCGCTACCTGTACAGAGGTGCCAAAAGGCAGGGCTCACCAATAGGTCGGGGGGCACTGGTGAGCCGTATCTCTTACTCCTCTTACTCCCAAGTCCGTGTTCAAGGTATGCTACACGATACCCACCTATCACACGAGCTGCAGGTTCTCATTGACTCGGGGGCAGAGGATAACTTTACAGATGAAGCCTATGTTAAAGCAAATCACCTGCCTGTTAGCTATCTGACTTCTCCAAAAAAAGCTCTAGCCATAGATGGACGACTCATAAACACTGTTACCCACAGAACCGCTCCTTTAAAGCTGACTCTCTCGGAAAATAATCACGAACATCTAGTGTTCTTTGTCATTACCTCCCCACTCACTCCTGTTATTTTGGGTCTCCCGTGGTTACAACGTCACAACCCCCATATAGACTGGTCCACCTCTACCATTCGCAGATGGAGCACTTACTGTCACACCCACTGTCTCCATTCAGCGATTCCAGCCAGATGTCCTCACTCCTCACACCCACCCGAGACTATAGACCTGAGTAATATCCCTTGGGATTATCACGACCTACAAGAGGTATTCAGTAAAGACACGGCCTGTTCACTCCCTCCTCACTGCCCTTACGACTGTGGGATTGATTTACTTCCCGGGGCTCCCCTTCCCACACGTAAACTGTACAACCTGAGTAAACTCGAAAAAGAAGCCATGGCAACCTACATCACAGAGTCGGTGGCAGCAGGCCTCATAAGGCCCTCACCCTCGCCGGTAGGGGCAGGCTTTTTTTTCGTCGAAAAGAAGGATGGTTCTTTGCACTCCTGTGTTGATTACACAGAGTTAAATGACATTACCGTTAAAAAAAAGTACCCACTGCCACTGCTTGACTCTGCAGTGGAAAGTGGAGCAGGACGTCCAGGCTGCACTCAGGGACCACCCGGCTCCAGAGGGAGTACCTGAGGGGCAGCTGTTCATCCCCGCCTGCAGCCAAATCTGCAGTGCTCCTGTGGGGGCACGCCTCCCAGCTCGACTACCATCCCTGGGTTCAGCGGATCCTTTTGCTGGTGCAACAACGCTTCTGGTGGCCTTCAATGACAGCGGACGTTTGCACCTTCATTGCCGCTTGCTAGGTCTGTGCCCGCAGCATATCCTCTCACCAGGCCCCTGCGGGGCTCCTGCATCCTCTCCCTGTGCCCTCATGACCCTGGTCTCACCAGGGTCTCTCCGAAGGCAACGATACCATACTCACCATCGTGGATCGCTTCTCCAAGGCGGCTCATTTCTTCCCACTCTCTAAACTCCCCACCGCCTTAGAGACTGCCAACCTGCATGTATTTAGACTTCACGGAATTCCTTCAGAATTGTCGGAATTGCCTCAGACCGGGGGCCCCCAGTTTGCCTCCCAGGTTTGGAAGGCTCTCTGTAGGGTCCTGGGGGCTACAGCCAGCCTCTCCACCGGGTACCACCTGCAGTCGAATGACCAGACCGAGCAGGCGAAACAGGATTTGGAGTCCGCCCTGCACTGCGTCGCCTCCCGCCTACCCGCTGCGTGGTCTACCCATCTTCCCTGGGTGGAGTATGCCCACAACAGCCTGGTCAATTCTGCTATGGGGATGTTCCCTTTCATGATTAACTGTGGCTTCCAACCCCCCCTGTTCCCGAACCAGGAATCGGATGCCGCAGTTCCCTCAATACAGGCACAGTTCCGGAAGATAAGGCAGGAATCCTGGAAGCTGGACCCAGGCTACACTGGTCCCTACGTCATTAAGAAGAGCATCAATCCGAGCGCCATCAAGCTCTACCTCCCCATGTCCCTCAGGGTGCACCCCTTTCCATGTCCCTTTCCATGTCTCCCTCCTTAAGCCTGTCATCAACAGCCCCCTTCAGCCCCCATCACTACCGCCTCCTCCTCCTCAACTGATTGACAACCACCCCGCCTACACAGTTAACAGGATTCTTGACATCCGCAGGAGAGGCCGGGGGTTTCAATACTTGGTTGACTGGGAGGGGTATGGTCCCGAGGAGCGCTCCTGGATCTCGCGTTCCTTCATCCTTGACCCACAGCTGCTGCAAGATTTCTATGCCACCCCCCCAGGTAAACCAAGTAGAATGCCAAGAGGCATTCCTTGAAGGAGGGTACTGTGAGGTTTTGAATTTATGCAGCAGTTGGGTTTCCTGTGTTCCTCTCCTCTGTGTGTTCTCCCTCTCTACAGCACTGGAGGCACGGTGTGAGGCAGGGCTGGCCCGGACTGATTCCACGCACCTGATTCTCGTTGTTGTCAACTACCTGGCTTTATATGCCGGCTCCTCTGTCGACTCAGTGCTGGATGATTTCTCAGTCATGCAACACGTGTCTTGCCACCCTGAGCTCCCTGATCTCCCGCCCGTGTAGCCAGCCTGCCACTCAGTATTTGTAAATGAGTTCTTTTTGTTACTCCTTGTTCATGTTTTTTCCTCTAGTTGAGAAGATTTTTTGGTTTACTATTTCTGTTGTACTTTGTCTTTTACCTCCTTGGTTGTTACCTGCCCATGTGGCACTATCATTTGAACTTTGTTTTTTCTCCAGCTATTTGCCTTGCTGCAGTGATTCCTGTCTAACTCTGGTTTTGTGTTTTTTTAATTGGCAGTCCAAGCTGACCGTGCCTTTTTCAGGAAACAGTGATTTTCTGTTGTTCACTTTGTTCTATTGTTTGTTGTTAATAAATTTGGGCATTTGCCTCTGCATTTTTGGATCCTGGCCTTTGTTCGACAATGCCGTGACCTGCCAGAACTAATGCCATGCTTCATTTCAGTCGGGACTTTGTCAAAATTCAGCTTTATTGTGCAAAGTTAAATTTGGCGGCATAGTTCTGTTTTGGGTCCCTGCCCTTCCATGCACTTGCATGGAAGCCAGAGGCAGGAAGAGCCCCTTCCTGCCCTTCACGAGCCATCATGAAAAGGCAATAGCGGGAACGCATGCAAGGTTCTGTTTGGGGCTCCCTGTTCTCCACACAAGCATGCATGAAAGGCCAGCGGCAGGAAGAGCACCTTCCCGCCCTTCATGAGGCATCATGCAGGCATAAACAACGGGGGGCAGAGCAGCGATGAAGAGAACCCCCCCAAAACGACCATGCCAGGCAGAGTAGGCAGGAGAAGCAATTTAATTAAGGCGTAATTTTGACATTTGCCAATAGGATGCGTGGAGGGCGATCAGCCAAACTGTCATCTGACTGAGGGATGGCTTAAGATCAGCTGACTGTAACCTTTAGCTCGACTGTAACCTTTGTGTCCTGCCTGAACTATGGCTATGCTTCATTTCAGTCTGGACTACTTTAGTAAAAATTTATTATTTATTACGTGCAAACATTTTTACATTGGTGGTATGGCTCTGTTCTGAGTTCCCTGCTCTTTTTGCATGGAATGCCACTGCTATGAGAGGGGATGCCCTCCCCTCCCTTTCATGTGTATTTATGAAAAGCCTAGGCAGAAAAAGTAGCAGCGAATAAATAAAATTAAGATAAAATAAGATCCCCCTAAACAACCATACCAGACAACCAGGGAGAGCAGCGGCAAATAAATCAAAAGTCCCCCAGAACAACCATACCAAGCAACCCTCCCCAGCTTTCATGAGCTACATAAAAGCACCTACAGGGGAGGGAGGGCAGCCAGCAGCGAGAACCTATGTAGCAACCTACCCACCTCCAAAGCTTGCATAGTATTGGTTACCCTTAAAACATGATCATGGATCAGGATTAATTTAATCCATCCACATATTTATAATTGGGAATATGCCTAAGAATACAATAGATATGGGACAGAATTATTGAGCAGCAGCATTTTTAAATGCTAATTGAGCATAGGAATCTTCTTTAGCCTCAGACCTGAGGCATCATTCAAAGGCTGATGAGGACCATTGACCCATAGCCTTGAGCGTCAAGACGGGGACAATGGAACATGCAGTTGTAGCTGCACCAATGCATGGTGAATGCGTAGAGTTGCACTCGGGTGGGAGCCAGCAGGATAGGCAGAGCAGGCAGAAAAACCAGAAAACCACGATCTGGACGTAGGTTTCCCGTCTTCAGTGGCAGAGAAAGGCTCTTGCTGGCTGTCCAATGGCCGGCCTCTCAGGCAGCGGGACATGGAGGATAAAGAACAAAGACAGAGATTCAAAACAGTGGACTATTAAAGCACATACAATGGATATATTTACGGGCATTGGAGCTACAGAGAAGGTGAGACCATGCAGAATCATATAAACTTTAATGCTGATTTTGCTTAACCAGCTCTCATGTAGCTGCAGAGAGCAGCAGAGAGCACTTAGGTTTGCAAGGCTGCACTCAGACTAACACAGTCTGAATGAATGGCTTCACAAACAGTGGTTGGGGTGCTTTGCCAGTGCTATCCCCAGCTCAGGGACATTTGACAGAGTAGACAGCTTTATTCTCTTTTCTGTTTTACCGGGTGGGTGCGTCTTGGGCATGCTGATTTCAGATGCCCGTCCCTGGAGTAACTTGGCTTCTCCGAGTAGTAGGCTTAGAGAGGCTTGGGTGGTAGGCCTGTAGCCCCAGTTTTAGGGCATATATTAGAGGTGTGATCAGGGGTGAAAGTAGGATAAGGTTCTTGCAGGTACTTTACCCGTAGACTTTGTACAAGAGGAGCACACCCAAGTTTAGCAAGGTGCTGACTCTGATACCACAGTATCATCATCTGCTGCATCTCTCTTTCTCTTGAACATAAAATAAATAATTTTTTCTCTGCATTTTGTCTTATTTCTGCATTAAGATTGAGGCAGCACTCTCTTTAAAAGTTCCCTCCTTCAGCAACAGGCGGGAGGCGGGCCCCAGCGCCCAGGCAACCAGCGTCCAATCAAAAGTGAGCTTTGAGCGCTCCCACTTCTGGAGTTTATTTGGAAGCAAATACCACTCACTCTCAAGCAGCATGGTCCTATTGGATTACTACGATTACAATGCAGAGTGCAGACTGACATGCGGCAGCACACTAAGCCTAAATACATGACGGGGTGAAAACTTTAAACTGCTGATAATGTCTTCCCCGAATGACTTACCACTGCGTACCGGCCTACTTCCACCTCTGGGTGTGAGAGAAAGACCCGCAGATTGAGCAGGGAAAAGCTTGATGCTCTGTGAAATGTCTACTGATTAGAGCCAGGTTGACTAAGGACTAATCAAGTCTTTGGTTGAATCTTTGAATGTACATAGCAGCTTTGCTGAAAATGATTTGTGATATTACTAGAATAATATTCTTCAATAAGTCATAGATGAATCAGAAATGATGGCAAGACATGAGTCCAGTTCAGTTCTGCGTGCTGAAAACACTTCACATATGACATCTCCAAATACGCCGAAAGCTACATGAAATCAGCTAAGGTCGGAGATTTAAACAGCCAGGCATCATGATGCACTACCGCACTACTGCACTACCCAGGGTCCTTCGCGGGATGGTTACACTGTCGTTGGTTGTCGCTGGAGTGACATCATCGTTCAGCGCAGTGAATGCAGGTGTGACAGCTGGGATGGAGAAAGACAGCTTAGCTCGTGCCGAACCGGATTCTTCAATGGTTGGATGCTGGACAGTGCTTTCAGGATGGGAATTTTGTCCAGGTCCGCCGGTCTTTTAGCTGGGGTTGGGCCTTGCGCTCTGCAGCGATAACGCGGCGGCTGAAGCTGGAACTACCATGACACTGCAGAAACAGTGTTTCTTTTCTCAGTCGCTTTTCTGGAGACAGAGGAGGGAGAGAGAACTGCATGTGAATGCTCTATGTGGATATTTTCCATAAACCAGGTGGAAAGCTCTTGATGTGAGGCACCATCTGGAGCTTTGATGTTATTTTTAAAAGGACTTCCAAGAGCCTGGACGCCACCATTCATGAAGCTGGGAGAAATAGAAGTTTTACTTGCCAGAGGAGAGCTCCTGCAGAAGGGAATGCAGCTGTCATTGCAAGGACTAGCTTCCTCGATTTCACATTGCTGATGTTGTGTTTCAGAAAAGCAGTCAATCTGCCATGGATCCCCGATGTGGGCAGCGATCGACATGATGAAAAGCACTTGACGTCGTGACCTGCCAGAAGTAACGCTATGCTTCATTTTGTTTATCTTCATTGTTTGTATAAAGACCGATTTGTTCTTCAAAAAATCTTTTCTAAGTCAACAAGTCTCATACTGCTTAAGCTGTAAATCATTTAACTCTACATGATTGATTGATTGATTGATTGATTGATTGATTGATTAATGATCATGTCATACATGAACGCATGAGTATATAAGTATTAACTAATCACAAGTGCTTAGATGTTAAATGGTATTGTACTGTGTTATCACAGTAATAATTTGTCTTAATAATTATCATTTTTAAGATTTATGGTAACATTTGAGCCATATCACCCAGCTCCAGATATCTGAAACTGCAAATTAGGTGGAAAATGTTTTATATTTTCGTTATTGTGAGCAACCTGTGGCACTTATCATGTCATCATTTTTAATATTAGAACAGAGATTCTGACTAATCAAAGCTTTAAACCATCCCAATAGAAGTTATCAATCATTCTTTATGACTAAATTTGCTCCATTCAATAATAAACATGAGTTTATATTACTTTGACAACTATTTTCTGCGCCAAGTTGCCAGTTTTGGTGAGAAATCCCCCCAGTCTGAGAGCTGCCACTCACCTCCCTGTCCTATTTGGGTCTCTGTTTTATTGCCTGTGATAGCCTCTCTCTCCTCTAGCCTCACGGTGCACTCTCGCCCCCTCTTCTCCTGTGTGTCTGGCAGCCAGACACTCTCAATATAGCTCTGCTCATAAACACAGACAGAGAGAGAGAGATAGATAGATAGAAGGAGAGAGAGAGAGAGAGAGAGAGAGAGAGAGAGAGAGAGAGAGAGAGAGAGAGAGTCCTGTGACAGTAATAAAAATGAGTGAGTGGCAGGGGAGAGATGGAGATTGGGGTGAATGAGTGGGAGGAGAGGACACACATGTACAGCAGCTTGTGTGTGTGTGTGTGTGTGTGTGTGTGTGTGTGTGTGTGTGTGTGTGTGTGTGTGTGTGTGTGTGTGTGTGTGAGAAAGAGAGAAAAGGATGAATCAAGCACAGAGGAGAAGATAGAAAAAGAGAGACAGCAAGAGAAAAGAGGAGGATGAGGAAATGAAAGGAGAGGAAAAAAGAGAGAGGTGTGTGGACTTCAGTGGAGAGAAGGTCGAGGTAAGAAAGAGAGAGAGAAATAGTGAGAGACTAAAGACGATATCAGCCTCTCAGCGAGGCAGCTTTGAAGGCCGGGCTGCCCTACTTTAACCACTGGTGTAAATAATGAATCCTGTGGCTGGAGGTATGACTCACACTCACATAGACACACACACACATGTGCACACACACTTTACTTTAACATGTTCCACCTCTCAAACACAACCTGATGTGTTTGAGAGTGTCTGTGCAAAGTTTAATAATGGAGAAAACAAAGAAATACAAACTGCTCAGCATCCAAACTGACACATGTAAGCTCTTCTGATCAGCGTTTTATGCATCTGTGGTTCCCAACTGCAGGTTAAGGACCCAAAAGTGGGTCATGGAGATGGCCGGAAAGTTTGCCTCAGAGATAGAGGTCCTTGCTGCACCTTTTTGAGGGACGTATCTTTTCTATATGCAGTTATAGGGAAATTTTACCTCAGTCCAGCTTGGACGGTGGCATTAATGCACCTCACTGACAGGTTTTCAGTTTGGATTTTTCTCCTGCAATCAAATCCTCCAAGGGTACCTTCAAGAAGTCCTCTTTTTCTGAACCTCAACAATGAAACATCATGAGGTTATAGAAGGGTGTATATGAGGAGTTTGGAAAGGACACCACAGCATTTGAAATTCCTGGCCCAAACTATTCAGGATGAGAACCTTTTTGCCTTATAACCTTATATGGTATTTAAAAAAATAGGTTAAATCAAATCAGCTGCTGCAGAAGTGTTTATCATTCTGGTCATTTTTAACAAAGAAGAGACCTCTTTAAGAAGGCAAAAACTTGGCCTAAAAACATTAAAATCTCCATTATATAATACTGTGTCTGGTATTGTTTTCTCAAGAAAACCTTTTTGGCTTTTATTCAAGCCTCACTGTGAATCTTTTTGAGAAATACTGATGTAACATTAACCCCTTTGCACAGCCACCGGCATAAATCTCTTTGCAGTTTGCACCTAAATATTTTTGGACCTCTAAGGACATTAAACAAAAAATTAAAAAAAAAAAAAAAACTGGAACACTATCAAGAATTGAAGGATTTGGAAAATACCAAACATTCACTTACTATTTAATCATTCATTTGTGCAGATAAGACATTTAACTCCTCTGATGCCATAATACTTTCTTTAAAAATACAAAATAACACCTCTCCAAAGTAGCCTATCTTGGCAGAGTAAACATTTGGCTCCATAGAATATACCAGTTACAAACTACCTGAAACTCCATCTACCTTAGGCACCTTCTTTGGGCCTCCATTTATTCCTGATAATTGGACATTTGGGAGGGTATTATCCCTTACTTGTGAACACAAACAGAGAATGTGAACAACCTTGACCTCTCCTGTCCAGAATGTACTGTATGATGACTTTCCTTGAACATGGCACTTATTTAATTTGCGGGCAAACATCAGCAGAGGATCCATCCTGCACAGGACTGATGTGTTGTCTGAGGCTGCAGGCTGTAATCATCCTCACTTCACATCTAACATATCTTAATGTAGATATGAGCTCAGTTTCACATCATCTTTAGCAGAAATTCTCCCAAATGAAACTGTTTCCACGGCTGTTTGGCACAACAATCCTGAAAAAGTGTTTTCGTCTTAAACTAAATAAGGTCTATTCCTGAAAAAAGCCTCTAATGATTTTAAGACCCAGAAAGAGGACATGTCCAGGTAAAAGAGGACATTGTTAAGTTGTGCTTATGTTAACACAGGACATATGTACCTTCCATGCCGTGCTGAGACGGAGCAGCAGCGGCTGACGACCAGCGGACAGCATTGAATACATGTGACTCCTTATATTTGATGCCGAGCCCCGTTGACAAATGTTGAAGCATGTTGCTGGTGTTTCCACCTTTGCATTTTATCACTGCTCGACAAACATTGCACTGTTGTCATCTTTCTTAGTAAAATGAAGCCACACTTCAGATATTTTCTGCTTACTTTTAGTACCTTCAGCCATCTTTTATCCTCAAAGTCTCTGTTCCTGTTCGTGTAGACTAGTACTCCTGAGAGTATTGTTAAGATAAAATGTAAATTATGTCGGTGGATTAAACCATTTGGAACCAGTTCTCAACAAGCACTGGTTCTCGATTCCCATCCCTGTTAACATTTAAATTTAGATCCAAGAGAGAAAAACTTCCCTTGGAAAAAAGTAAAAATCTTAAGGGTTGGTTTGAAAACCAAGATAGTAGTCTTTGAGGACCCAAATCAAAAATTTCTCTTAACAAGTTTCTTCATAAAAATATTTAGTCTTATCCAGTTGCTTCTCCTCAGGGACAGCAGGGACTGGTGCTCCTGGGGTTCAAAATGCTAGATTTTGGATTCAGCATCAACTCAAAGACTGCCACACTGTGCAGACATCTGCTGGTAGGATCTCGCTCTGGTTCTTCTAAAGGGGGCTGCTTGCTTGAGCTTTTCTTTTGATCCTGGACATCTAAACCTCAATACAGAAAGCCTGGAAGTCTATTTAAGTTTTGGGTACATAGTCAGAGGTCAGGACTGCCCACATTTGACAGCCCGTCCATCAGCTTGGAAAATGTAATACAACAAACATGTCTAGCAGCACTAAAAATAAAAGGCAAGAAGACAACCCTGAGAAGAATGGGCCTTATGTTTACCTTGTCTGCATGGAGGATTTCAAGTATTCATGAGCGGAGCAGCCTCCTGCTCCTCCCTCACTGAGAGTGTGAGCTGAGACAGAAGGTGGGCAGGAGGAGGGTGGGTCGCTGCTGTGTTTTCTGCTGCAGAGTTTGGAGGAAGTGAAGGGCAAGTTTTCCTCTGTGCAGCTGCAGAGCAGGTTTAAACAGAAGGTCTCTGCGTGATGTCGGACAGAGTCAGCGGCAGGCGTTCCTCAGAGGACGGATCAGGAGATCTACAGCACAGTATGTTGCAGACGGCCCCTGTGCAACAAACTCGGGTACACCTGAGACAGTAAATGACTTCATTTCATACGAACAGGTGTTTCCACTGGAGCTATACAGATAAAATTTTGGTGCTTGAGCTTTGTGAGTTTCTTTACTCATGGTGTGAACACAACATTAGGATGGTCTCCCCCATCCAGACGGACCAATCAATCATGCGTCCAGTAGAAAACCATGGCTTGGACCATCCAGCTGCTGCTGAAGGAGGTTTGGGAGAAGACTTTCCTCTGTGCCTTCACCTGATTTCTCTCCTGAATTCTCCTCTCTCCCTGTTTCCTCCCATCTTGGCTGTTTCAGTTATTATCTGTCCTTCCTCCTCTATGCCTCCTTCTCCCCTTCCTCCTCTGTGTTTCCTCCTCTTCTCTCTGTATGATTCACTCAGACTCGTTCCTGTAGCAGCGTGATATCTGTATAGTTGCAGATGGTTTCTACCATCTGCATACAAAACACATGTAGGAGTGCAGTAATCGACACCAGCACAGCCATCAGTCTCTGTCAATGAGAGCTATGAGTATCTGAGTCACTCCTGAGTGTGTGTGTGTGCATGTGTGTGTGTGTGTGTGTGTGTGTGTGTGTGTGTGTGTTCATGCGCGCGTGTGTGTAGGACAGATTAATAAGTGTCTATATTCCATTTTGCATGTACCCACAGCTTGAAAATGTGCTTCCTCATGGGCTGTACTTCATATTAAAATGTGTCCAGACGTGTTTGTTTCATTCTCATGTGTGTGTGTGTGTGTGTGTGTGTGTGTATGTGTGATTCTTGGCCTTAGCTGGACCTGCAGACAGACAGGAGAACTGATTGGCCGACTCTCCCCAGACATCTGACGCGGCGTTCTGTCGGAGCACGTTCACACGCTGCAGGTCACCTCATTTCCTCCGACACAAACACACTCACACGCGCAGACACGCTCAAAAATAACACCCACATATAAGGAAAACATGCCAACACACATGGTCAAACACACACACACAGCAGAAACATAAATCACTGTCAGAGTCAGCGTTAATCAGCAGCTGCTTGCTTCTCGGTAAATGTCGAGCAGAGGAAAGCTTGTTGTTATTTACACTTCACTGCATGTTTACCTTCATTATCGATGCCCAACAAGACGCTTCAACTTTTTTATCTCCCTCTAATCAATTTGTTTCCCTCCATCTTGTTCCAAAGGAATAACATAAGAGTACATCTGTTTCTCCAGAGCGCATCACGGCTACGAACATTTAGGGAAGAAAAAAGCGTAAACAGCTGGTTTATAACATGTCCCCTTTAGAAAACTCCTCATCCAGATCCTCCCATCAACACAAGAACAGTAGTTTATTTCATGCATCAAAACACACACACACACACACACACACACACACACACACACACACACACACACACACATTCTTTTAAGCATATCACTCCTCTTACTGTAATTAGTTGCTCCTGAAGCTGTATGAACAATAATAATTCTCCTTATGCACAACAAATAGAGCCTTTAAAGAAGAGTGACGCTTTATTATGAATAAATCCGGACCTAAAAGTGTGGAATTAAATCATTCAGCAGAGAGGATATTGAGTCCTCTGACATGTTTCCTATC